TATGGGCTAGTATGCACGCCATCAGGTCCTGCCTCAAGCTCCAGGTCCGAGGCAGTAGCATCAGGCACCCCAGTTTTATTGCATGCAACAGTTGTTCTTGTGACTGTTGGAGTCTTTAAAGCGCAGCCGCATTTTAGGACGATACTTCTCCAGATATAAAAGTTGCTTGCTGTTAAAAGCTCCGCGCCGCTTTCTAGAAGGAAAAGATAAAACTAACTGATGGTGACAGAAGTCAGAAAGAGGTTGCTCCTGGTGGCCATGAAGATGACACTGGTATGAATGACACTGCCATGGCCACAACAGGGATGTTCCAGAAAACTAGAAACTGAATAGTGCTCTGGGTGCCTCCCCTGTTACTCCAAGGGACCTTCCTCTGGCTCTGGGCATTCTTATCACCTGAGTGACACAGCAATCCAATGCTAAATCTCAAGTTAACAGGCCAGCAGTGATCTAACTCAAAGAACTAACTCAAAGAGCACTGTGGATCAGATTTAAGTGAGCATCTACAGAGATGCAAAAGGAAACTTTCTGGCTTAATTCCACTTTAAAAATGGCAACAGGAAGGAAAGGAGGGCAATTGGTAACATGCTTCCGACTCATGGACAGTCAACAAGAACCACGCAAGGGTGCGCAAGGGTGCGGATGCAGAGGCCCCCACTTACTGTCGGATGAACTGCACCGCGTCTTCGTACTTCATCCCGCCTTCAATTAATGCTAGGGCAACGAGCACTGGAGCTCTGCAAGGTAAGAATGCTAGAGATCAGTGTTTCTAAGCCGTATCCTGGAAGGTCTCTCCTGCCACATCATGTAGCCAGCAACACCTGCAGTTAAATCCCGACTTTATGTGTAAGAATTTAGAGGAATTTATAGTGCACTTTCAGATCACCTATTTTTTTTTTTTAGATTCAACTAAGAAATTCTCTTACCTCCCAAGGCCTGCAACACAGTGGACAGCAATACAACACCCAGGTTCTTCACGGAACTTAACTTTCACAAGATTTAACCAGTCGTCGACAATCTGGTTGGACGGTGGCGCTCCATCATCAAAGGGCCAATC